ATTTTTATGTGCACATATTATCTCTTTCCAAGTACACTGCGACCTTTTTGAAGGCAGGAACAAAATATCGTCTCTTTTTCAAGACATCATGGAATCTATTAAATGACATTTATATAGTTGAAGGAACAGTATCCTCATTAATTCTTTTATTCATTCATTTACTCTACTAGTATTTTTGTGTGTCTACTCTGTGCTAAGCATATATCCCCTGTCCTCATGAAGTGTTCAGACCAGTTGGAGACAACCTGGTGTCACATGTGGATAGAACTGGATTTAGAGTCAGAAGACTTTGGTGTGAATACTAACTTTGTCACTTACTAGCTGTCTGATCATTTAAGCCCTCAACATCTCAGTGTCTTCATCTGGAAAATGGGGACAATAATGCTTGCTCTGTCTACCTCTCATAATAAAGATCAAACCACATTGCATTTTATGTGCAAATATTTTCTAAATGACAGGACATGGTGGTTTTAATTTGTCTACAAATTCTTTGATATTCTTCCCTTCAAGAAGTGGAGCCTAAGTCTCTTCCTCTTGAGTATGAGCTGGACTTAATGACTCACTTCTAACAGATACAATAAAACAAAATGATGCTGTGCAATAAAAAGGCAGTGTGGCTTTCGTCTTGGTTACTCTATTTCTTGAGTTAGTTGGTCTGAGGGAGGGCTGCTGCCATCATGTGAGAAACCTTTATGGAGAGAAACCACGTGGTGGGGAATGAAGGCCTTCGGACAACATGCTCAAACTTGAAAGCAGAACCCTCGGCCCCAGTCAAACCTTCTGATAACTAAAGACCCAGCCAACCCCACTTGACGACAACCCCATGAAAAAAACAGAGCCATATGACTCAGCTTAGCTGCTCCTGGATTGCTGATCCTAAAATCATGTAAGACAATATACGTTTTAAAAGTTGCCAATTTGGGGAGTAATTTGTTATGTAGCACTGGATAACTGGATAATACGTGGAGTACTAAAGAAATTTAAGGCATTATTTTTGAATATGCTAATATTTGTTGAATGAAGAGTAGCATAATCTACCATTGTTTATTGCCGAATGATGAGTTAGAAGTGGAAGAAAAATCAGCTTCAAATAAAAATTTCAAAACATTACAAACTAGAAGTCAGATCGATGTAAAATTTCTGATGGGTGATTTGCAGACATTTCGCACCCTGCCACATGCTTCATTTTCCGAGAGGTATCAACCTGTGACAGTGACTGCAGGCTGTATGCCAAAAGGCTACAGTCTGAAAGAATTGTTCATTTCTACCAACTGCTTTTGTTTTATTTCAATTTCAGTTCTCATTTTGAGCTAAAATTGATAGTTTTAATTAAATAAGAAATGAGAACTGTACTTCTCCTCTACACAGAATATACATTTTTTTTTGTATTAAAGAAAGTAACCATGGTTCTTTGTTAAATACAAAGGCCACAGACATGGGAATTTATGATTTGTTTGCATCAATAGGACCTTCTGAAAGTCACTGCTATCCCTTTGCCATAGTAACACTGACCCAGCCTGGCCTCCATTATTAATAATGCCACTGGGAGGCTGAATTCATAGTCCTCACCAGTCAACTTTGTCAAAATTAATTTGAACCAGAACAAATTTAAATTTAAAACTATCTAACTACATCTGATCCACAGGATGCCCGTTTATAACCAATTTCTTAAACACCCCACTGAGAACACAGTTCTAGAAGAAGACTGTCAATTTATTAACCTATTTAATAATAAATACAGAATTGAAATTTCTCACTGCATATTTATTGACCCTAATCTTGCCAGAGCTTCAAGTGAAAGGCTTTGGAAGCTATGTTAATTCTTTAAAGCCATGAGAATAGTACTGAATATGTGTACCTAAAATGGTATAGATAATAAAAGAACACGAATGATACAAATTTTCTGAAAATGTTTTCTCTATCAATCTGCTTGGTTAAAGGATGGACAGCTCATGGGAAGTAAAACAGTATAGTCACCAGTTGCAGATGACATGCTACTAAGTAGACAAAATCCTAAAGACTCCACCCAAAGCTATTAGAAGTAATAAATGAATTTGATAAAGTTTCAGGATACAAAATTAATACCTAGAAATCAGTAGTTTTCCTATACACTAATAGAGAAGTCTCAGAAAGAGGCATTAAGAAACAATTCCATTTATAATTGCACCAAAAAAACCCCTAAGAATAAACTTAACTAAGAAGATAAAAGACCCATACTCTGAAAACCCTAAAACATTGATGAAAAAAATTGAAGATGGCACAAATGGAAAGGTATTCCATGCTCATTGATTGGAAGAATTAATACTGTTAAAATGTCCACATTATCTGAAGCAACCTACAGATTCAATGCAATCCTCATCAAAATACCAACAGCATTTTATGCCCATACTACACAAAGCAATTTACAAATTCAGTGCTACATGCCAAAAGGCAATCCCTAGCAAAATACCAACATCATTTTTCACAGGACTAAAACAAATAATCCTAAAATTTTCATGCAATCACAAAAGACCCTGAGTAGCCAAAACAATCTTGAGAAAGAACGAAGCTGGAAGTATCCCAATTCCAGATTTCAAGGTATACTACAGAACTATAGTCATCAAAACTGTATGGTACTGACACAAAAATAGATCTGTGGAACAGAATAGAGATCTCAGAAATAAACCCATGCTCGTATGGCCAGTTAATCTATGACAAAGAAGGCAAGAATATATAATGGGAAAAAATCTCTTTAACAAATGGTGCTAGGAAAACTGGGCAGCTACACATAAAAGAATGAAACTGAACCACTTTCATACACCATACACAAAAATAAATTAAAAATGGATTGAAGGCCTAAATGTGAGACCTAAAACCATAAAAATCCTCGAAGAGAACACAGGAAGTAATTTCTCTGACATTGGCTACAGCAACATTTTTGTAGATGCTTCCTAAGGCAAAGGAAACAAAAGAAAAAATAAACTATTGGGACTACATGAAAATAAAAAGCTTTTACACAACAAATGAAACCATCAACAAAACAAAAAGTCAACCTACTGAATGGGAAAAGATATGTGCAGATGATATATCCAATAAGAGGTTAATAATCAAAATATGTAAAGAGCTTATACACCAAAAAACAAAAATCCAATTGAAAAATGGACAAGAGACATGAACAGACATTTCTCCAAAGAAGGCATCCAGATGGACAATGGGTTCAAGAAAACATGCTCAACATTATTCATTATATCATTTCGGAAATGCAAATCAAAACTACAATGAGATACTACCTTATACCCATGAGAATGGCTAAAAACAAAAACAAGAAACAACAAGCATTGGCAAGGATGTGGAGAAAAAGGGAACCCTCATGCACTGTTAGTGGGAATGCAAACTGGTGCGGCCACTGTGGAAAACAGCCTGGAGAGTCCTCAAAAAATCAAAAATAGAACTACCCTACAATCCAGGAATCATAATCCTGGGTATTTGCCAAAAAACACAGAAACACTAATTCAAAGGGATACGTACATGTTTGCAGTCTTATTTACAATAGCCAAACTATGGAAGCAGCCCAAGTGTCCATTGATAGATGAATGGTTAAAGAAGATGTAGTGTACATATATACAATGGAATATTATTCATCCATAAAAAAGAATGAAATCTTGCCATTTGCAACAACATGGATGGAGCCAGAGGGTGCAATGATAAGTGAAATAAGTCAGTCAGAGAAAGACAAATACCATATCATCTCACTCATGTGAAGAAAGAAAAAAATGAGCAAAGATTAAAAAGAGAGAAAACTCCAGAAACAGATTCTTAACTATAGAGAACAAACTGATAGTTACCAGAGGGGAGGTGGGGGGGGGGCGGAATGGGTGAAATAAGAGATGGGGATTAAGGAGTGTACTTGTCATTATGAGTACCAGGGGATGTATGGAATGGTAAAATCACTATATTATATTTCTGAAATGAATATAACACTTTATGGTAACTAATTGGAATTAAAATAAAAGCTTAAAAAATAAAGAACCTATATAACTCAACACTAAAAAAACAAGTCTGAATTAAAAAAATGGGCAGAGGTGCTGAACAGACATTTTTTTCTACAGAAGACACAGATGACCAACAGACACATGAAAAGATGTCCAACATCACTACCCATTAGGGAAATGTAAATCAAAACTACAATGAGATATCACCTTATTCCTGTCAGAGGAATCAAAATAAAAAAGACAAGAAATAAAAAGTGTTGGAGAAGGAACTCTCATATACTGATGGTGAGAATGTAAATGGGTACATCCACTGTGGAAAAATAGTATGAAGAAAAAATAAAAAATAGAAATAGCATATGATCCAATAATTCTACCACTGGGTATTTACCCGAAGAAAATGAAAATACTAATTCAAAAAGATATATGCACCCCTATGTTTATTGCAGCATTATTTACAATAGCCAAGATACGAAAGCAACCCAAGGGTCTATCAATAGATGAATGGATAAGGAAGACGGAATATTATGCATCCATATGTGCTATTTGCAGCAATATGGAGAGACCTAGAGGGTATTATGCTACATGAAGTGAGTCAGACAGGAAAAGACAGATACCATATGATTTCACTTACATGTGGAATCTAAAAACAAACACAAATAAACAAACGAGCAGAATCAGATCTATAAATACAGAGAACAAACTGATGGTTGCCAGAGGGAAAGGGAGAGTGGGGATGGGCAAAATGGGTGAAAGGGAGTGGGAGATACAGGTTTCTAGTTATGAAAGGGGTAAGTCATGGGGATGAAAGGCATAGCAGAGAGAATATAGTCAGTGGTATTTTAACAATGCTGTATGGTGACAGATGGTGGCTATAGTTGTGGTGAGCACAGCACAACATAGAGGTTGAAATACTATGTTGTACACCTGAAACTAATGTAACGTTGTGTCTCGACTATACTCAAATTAAAAAAAAAAAATAATTAAAAAAAGAAAAAAAGAGAAAGGAAGGCTGTGTGAAAACATGCTTACTTGTAGGAGATACTCTGTTGGTTGGAGAAGTTCGGGTGACAAGGGTAGGTGTGACAACATTAAGCGGAGAGTCTGTCGGAGGGTTCATGGAGCCTGAAAGGATGAAATGGATATTAATGATGACCATAATATTGTAACAGAGGGATGATGTATTGACTTAATTTCCCCCACAATTTTGTCTACTCATCTAACAATTCATTAATGAAGGCCTATTACATGCAAGGCTGTGGGATGCAGCGGTGAATGACAAAGACATCGGGCTGCGTTTAAGGACCATAAGCCTAGATAACAGGCAGGTAGCCAGGCATTGTGTTGAGTGCCACGGGGTGCCACGGGGGTACAAAGAAAGGGTACCAACCAAGATTGGAAGGTCAGGGGAAACTTCCTGGAGAAAATAACATTTAACCAAGACCTGGTAAAATAATTATAGCAGCTAATATCGTGAAGTATTTGAAAAGTAATCATACAGTTTACAAATCCACAAGCCTGCAAAATTTTATCGGCAAGAGAAACAACAATGTAATGCTCCAACTGGATGTAACGTCAGTGAACCTAAGGCTGATGGCATTATTATTGCTTTTTCTCAGATGCCTTTTTTTTGTCACAAAATTTTTATTTGGCTATAACTTTTCTCAATGTGTGTGGGGGCAGGTAGGGGTGAAAGGGAGCCTAGAATACATTGTTTTATCATATTATACACTTATGCCAACTCCTTAAGCTTCTATTATTGAACTCTAAAATAGTCCTATTAGCAGTATAAAACAATCCAAAAATGCCAGAAGGATCTATTAACTTTAGGAATGTCTAGATTAAATATGGTTAAATGATTTTCAGGCTAGGGGATTTTGTAATGTTCTACATGTAATGACATTGGGTGTAATGTCACACATCTGGTGTGCTGTGTCAATTATCTGGACATTTAATTATAAATTATACTATTGGTTCTAGTCTGTAATTTGCTTTAAGGGAAAAGGATATATAAGTTATGCCACCAGATAGCACATAGAACGTTGGAAGGAATTTGTTTTTGTAATCAAGATGTATCCATGTTTTATTTTCAGCGTTGGCAGTATTGTTGTTGCTGTTGGCTGTGGGTAATGCTCACAGTTGGCTCTGACCCTTTATCATATTATAATGTAAATGATCCCTCGCTATTAATCTCTGAGGAGGTGGGTGTAGGGTGGGGAGAAAGTCACATGGAAAGTATACAAATAGGCTGGTGGAATGACCATCCTCCTCCACCCGAACCATCTGAAACATATCTGAACACTTCAGCACGACACACAAATCTGATCATTTTCTTCCCCCCATTACAATCCCACTTCATTTCCTGAAGTTGCCTATCATCTTTTACATCTCAAATCATACCCTCAACCCAAAGGGTGATATTTCAATCCGATCTCTGTGGATTCTTTCTTTTTGCATATGCTGTTTCCTTATACTTACCCATCGCAGACTTCCTGGTATGCACCTTCTCAAACTTGACAGACCCTAGGGATCTTTGCGATGTGCTCATAGCCCTCAGTGTTTACCCTAGCAAAAGCCTTATTGCTCTATATCATCAGTATACCCCTCAACAGAAGTGATTGGGAAATCTCTGTATTTCTGATTCCTGGCAAATGCAGGTAGATGAGTGAATGAATATAGATTCCTTTTTAACACTGGAAGAGAGAAGACCAACTTTAAGCACATTATCTGACTGCTGATGCATAATAAGCATCATCTTCCAAAGTAGTGACCTTAATAAGATGGAACATGAGCCTGGAAAAATAATGCCTAGGTGTTTTTCTCTGTAGATTGATTGGAACAGAAGTATGGCCCACAAGTCAAATCCACCCACTGCCTATGTTTGTAAATAAAGTTTTATTGGAATACAGCCACATCCATTTGTTTATGTAATGTCTATGGCTGCTTTTGTACTACAATGGCAGAGCTGAGCAATTGTGATAGAGACCATATGGTCCACAAAGCATAAAATATTTACTATTTGGCAGATAAAAACAGAAAGTTTGTTGACTCCTAGAAAAGAAGATGTTGATAGGTTGTGCTCAATCCTGGATTTCTACAATAGGAAGCATTTATTTTTCATTGATGGAACATTTCTATTTTAAGATGTTATGCAGCCATATTTCAACACCACATATCTTTGTAATCTGAGAAGTTCTTGCCACACAGAACCTTACAGTGTATCAGGGAGTTGTTACTGCAAGATTTGTATTTTAAGATGAACTCTTTGCTCTGTAACAAAAATGATGCATAGCTTTCAAGATGAAATGTGCAGCGAAAACAAACAAACAAACAAACACCAAAGAAAAAGAAAAGAAAAAAGAAAAAAAAAAAGGTCATTTTGGTTTCAGATTGTCCTATAAAGTAGAAACTCCTCCTTGGTCAAAACAAAACTCAGGGGGTGTAGAAAAGAATGGCTAAAACTTAACAGAAAAAAAAAAACCCATTTACCAAAACTCAAATGCAGAATTTGGCAGGAAGATATCAACCAGTTTTCAGACCATTACATTTGCCATCATGCTGTAAGCGGTTAAGCTGCTGGCTGAAAGCAACTTCATCTGTTCCTGAGTGTGTCCTATCTGCAGCAGGCCTGGCAGGGTGCCCAGGACCATCCTCATGGGCAGTAGTGGCCAGGTGTCTGTCCCCTAGGGCAGCTGGTCAGTTCTCGGGTTTCCTCAGAGCTCGAATCAGCCCTTAGCTGGTCTACCTAGAAATGAACCAGACTCCAGGCCTTGCAAAGTCTTTGCTTCTCAAAATGTGGTCCATGGTGTCTCTTAGGAGCTTGCTAGAAATGTAGGATCTCAGGCCCTGCCCCTCCACCTCAACTTAATGAATCAGAATCTGCTTTTTAACAAATCCTTGGGTAATGTGCATGTATATATTAAAGTATTTAACTGGAGCGCCTGGGTGGCTCAGTAGGTTGAGTATCTATCCTTCGGTTTAGGTCATGATCTCACGGCTAGTGAGTTCAAGCCCCACATCAGGCTGGCTGCTATCAGCTCAGGGCCTGCTCCGGATCCTCTGTGCCCTTCTCTCCACCCCTCCCCTGCTCATGCTCTCTCTCTCTCTAAAATAAAATAAACATTAAAAAAAAAGTCCTTAATGGATACCCTAGGATCCCCAGGATCCTAAGGATCAGTCAGGGTATGAGAAAAATCATGAAATAAGAAGTATTTGCCATCAGCCAGGCTGATGGCTCAGAGCCTGGAGCCTGCTTCCGATTCTGTGTCTCCCTCTCTCTCTGCCCCTCCCCCATTCATGCTCTCTCTCTGTCTCAAAAATAAATAAAAACGTTAAAAAAAAAATTTAAAAAAAATGTATTCACTGTTGAATCACAGGAATCTGTAGGCCCTCGTACTCAAATAGCTGCCTGATGAGCCACTGACCACCCTACGCCGACCCCTTTCCCTTTCTCAGTTTACTAGAATAAGAATCCCTGAGCATTTGAACTCACTGGGAGACCAGGAGATAGGTGGGGAAGGGAACAGCTCAGAGAGCTGTTAGCTTTCAGGCTTCTAACTGTTCTCTGGGAGCAAAGGGAAACCAAAACTCCTCTTACTAAACTTCCTTTCTGCTCTGTAATATTCTCAGAATTTCTCTACTTTAGATTTTTCTTCTAGATTTTCATCTCCATATCTGTCAACAGTAATGGCCTGATAAAGCAGTAACTCTTACACAAGGCATCAGAAGTTTTCTTCAGGGTTCATAAAGCTCCCAGCAGTGCCCCCACAAGCAGAAAGTGTTTGGAACTAGGTGTTTAAGAACTTACAACAAGTAAGGAAGTATGATCCAGGGATGACATTGCTTTACAGAGTCTACTGCATCTTCTAAATCATTCTTAAAGATACATGCTAGAATATGACCAGAATGTAAGCTATAACTTTGGGAAACTGAACTCTTCAAGATTTATTGTCTTTAATATTTGATCGTAAAAGATAAAAATTCACTTGACAATTTAAAAATAACCATGTGCTCAGAGCCTAAAATTATACTAGATCAAGGACTGTCCTATAAAATTGGAATTATGGTGTGCTTTGGGTATCAAGATCAGTGCTCTCCCTTATTATCCCAAAATTATAGCACAGTTCAAGAGAATGAGAAGCCACAGACTGGGAGGAAAACATTGGCAAAAGACTCATCTGGTAAAGGACTATTATTCAAAATATATAAAGAACACTTAAAACTCAACAGTAAGAAAACAACCCACCTGATTAAAAAATCGGGCTGAAGACTTTAATAGACACCTCACCAAAGAAGACATATTGAGGGCAAATAAGCTTCATATAACATGTCGTCGGAGGAATGCAAATTGAAATAACGAGATACCACTAAGCACCTATTAGAATGGCCAAAAACCATAACACTGACAATATGAGATGGCGATGAGGACGTGGAACAACAGGAACTCTCATTCACTGCTGGTGGGAATGCAAAATGGTGCAGCCACTTTGGAAGACAGTTTGGTGTTTTCTCACAAAACTAGACAAAGTCTTATCTACAATCCAGCAATTGTACTCCTTTGTATTCACACAAAGGAATCGAAAACTCAGGCCCACACAAAAACCTGCACATGGGTGTTCAAAGCAGCTTTCTTCCTAATTTCCCAAAGTTGGAAGCAACTGAAATGTTTTTCAGTAGGTGAGCGGGTATATTAGACTATGGTACATGCATAAAATGGAATATTATTCAGTACTAAAAAAGATAAGCTGTCAAGCCATGAGACAACATGGAGACAACATGCTAAATGCATATTACCAAATGAAAGAAGTCAATCTGAAAAGGCAACATAGTGTGTAATTCCAACTATATGGCGTTCTGAAAAGGGAAAATTGTAAAGACTAAAAATATCAGTGGTTGCCAGAGGTGGGGGATGGGGGTAAAGGATGTATAGGTAGAGCACAAAGGATTTTTAAGGCAGTGAAAATTTAGGGCCTTTTGAAGCTGTAATGATGGGTACATGTCAGTGCACATTTATCCAAACCCACAGGATATACAACGCCAAGTGTGAAACCTAAGGTAAATTATGGACTTTGGGTGATTATGATGTGTACAGTGTAGGTTTATCAGTTGTAACAAATGAACCGTATTCTGGTAAGTGATGTTGATAACAAGGGAGGCTATGCATGTGTGTGGAAGGGTATACAGGAAATCTCTGTACCTTCCTCTTAATTTTGCTGTAAACCTAAAACTGCTCTAAAAAATAAAATCTTTAAATCAAGACAAGCTCAATTTTAACATCAGAAAAGACTGGTTTTTCAAATATGGTTCTGTCTGTGATGGGAATAAGGTTCTCCATAGGAATTTGAGGTTGTTTGGTCTTTAGCTTATGGCCTTAAAGTCTGCCAAAGTTACTGGCAAATCTATAGGAGAACCAGCTGCCTTTACCCCGTTCCAAGACCATAGCCTTACCTGTGTCCAGCCTTCTAGAAAGGAGGTGAATTTACTTCTGAGGGAATTAGGCAAAATTGAGTATGGATGTTTTAGTGTAAACCCATGATCATTTCCAGATGATTAACTAAAAGTTTGGAGGGAGATGTGTTTGTGTGTGTATGTACACATACACACAGGCAGCATTACAGGCATGATGACACTGTCCCAGATTCACAATGGCACCTACTTCTGAACAGGGGAACGGATGTGTATTGAGCCACATACCCTTCCCAACTAAGGCTCCCGGGAACCAAATGGCTGCCTGTATGAAACGGCCGGGTAGGACCCAAGATGCAGACACTGGCCTTGAAACAAAGAGGAACTTTCCCTTATAAACTACCTTGGGTTTTATGAGTATGTTATAGACTACAATTTCTCTGAAAATAGGAAGGTGGTAAAAGATGTTAACGGTCCTGCAGAGTTGTGATAATGGCTAACAAATCTGTTTAAGTATTACTTTGCTGTTATACATGCATGTTTGCTAGTTGTCATTACAAACTTCTATTTTTTATAGGCAATCTGTTGTCACTGCATTTGTTGAGACATTTGTTCACATCTTTTATGTAGCAAAATCTCCATTAGTTGGTCAGGTTTCGAGTAGTCAATATTCCGGTTCGTCAAATGTTGTAAATAAGTAGAATGATCCTACGTATCAATTTTCAAGTCATAAAAATCTTCTATATGCCCAATTCTGTGCCTCAACTTAGGGCCACTAAAATCATTAGGATACAGTCTTTATCCTCAAGCTTTTTATATCTCATACGTGGTTTATCCATTCCTAAGTATTAAAATTATAAATGTTATATGTAATTGAAGGTTGTTAGTGACTCAGAAGAGATTTTAGGATTTTAAGAATCACTCTTGATCATCAATGTATTAGTGTTAATTTTCATTATATGGTAGATTAACAAAAAGTTATTATTAATGAAATTTGAAAAAAATTGCCATATTCACTAGAAATTCTTTAGAAACAGGAATCAGCTGCTTTTTATTTGAAGAAATTATTTTAAGCAGAGCCCCATTTTTCATCAAAAGAGGCTTGATCCCACGAAATTTAGTAATTTTGAGTTGTGTAGAGAGGCTTCCGAGATTAAAACACCATGGAAATAATGAGCACTCTATTTGTTCTAATTAGAAGTGTTCTGAGCTTACGGCAGTCCTGGCCGCCCCTTGTTGACCTTATTAAATAGACAACTCACCCAAGGAAAAAGTGATCTTTTCAGACGAGATATTCCACACTTTATTCCCAGGGACTGGAGACATAGCCATGCACCAGATGGTCAGGTTGTTTGGTTGGGCTGGCTTATTACCATACACGCTTGTCAAAACAGACTTCAGCTCCCAAAATCCACTTTTGTCTTTTCTCTCTTCATTAGTAATGTATATTTCTAGAAGACAGATTAAGAACAAGATCGGTCAGCAACATTTTCTGCTATGAGCCATACAGTGATGGCAAGGAATGGCTGGGGATGTGCTGGAAGCCGAGCTATCCCAGCCTGATGGCAAAGCCCAGGCTGTGGATGGATTGGTGACTGCAGGGCAGCCCGCCGACAGTGAAGCTTCTTGGACTCCCGCTTTTAAGTAATATGGCTTTAACAAAAGTACCTGGGGTATTGTCTGTTGGGGAATTGCCCTCGACAGTTCCCCTGGGAAAAGAACAATTAGGAAAGAAAATAAGGTTCCGCAA